CCCTAAAATAACGCAGGTCTGAGCACGAGAAAACACAGATATCGGAAGCAGGTAGCCCAGCAGCTGCACGGGAGAGACACCCAGCGTGAGGAACAGCAGCATCTGCCTTTTGTGTTCCACTAGTAAAGGAGCGGATAAAAATACCACCATCTGTTTCTTTCTTAAAATGATAATTGATGAGTTACCCTTGACATTTTGAGTAAATATTTAACCAGAAAAAAGGGAAATAAGTTTTTAGCTTTTCAGAAGACTGTTTAAAGCCAACAGTTTTTGAAAGACGTGGTGCCTGCACATTGATCTCCGCAGTTTGCTCTACCTGTTGGGTCTGGGGCGGGAGAGGGTTGGCGCAGGCTCGGGAACAGCTGAGGCCACGTGTGTCGGACGTGTCGATGTGCCTATGGGGATCTCTGCTGGGACCACCGTAGCTGGGGAGGGGGAGAGAGGAGGAGAACTTGGATCCTCTCCAGGCCACAAAAGTCCAACTGTACTTCAGGTGGTGCAGCCAGACTTGGGGTGAAACAGGAGAGAGGTGGTGAGAGAAAAAAGGAGGTGAACACCTCATTTATCTTGCCCAGCACAGTGAGATGGCTTCTCTAAATCGCACAAGCCTTGTCCTTTCCTTGTAGTGATGTCCTTGAGAGTATAATACAATTTCTACCCTTTCTTTTTTTTTTTTACAACCTGCTTCTGTTGTGATGTCCACGTTATTTTTCCCCAACCTTCCCATAGAATCTAATCCTCTGTTAGGAAATTTTTTGCACTACCAGAGAAAAAGGAGCTACAGAAGTAAGGTGATCTAGTGGAAGGTGTCCCTGCTCACTGCAGAAGGGTTGAACTAGATGACCTTTAAAGGTCCCTTCTCACTCAAACCATTCTATGACTCTATAATCACTACAGATGTGCAGACAGCTGTGGAAGAATCCATTTCAGAGACTGAGCCAGGGAAATCAAGAGCCTTGCCTGAATCTGCGCAGGAATGGGCACTGGGAGGCCCACTCTTGGCAGTCCTGGGCAGGCTATAGGCATAAAGGTGTGTGTTTGTCGATGGCTCAAACTAAGAGGCTGGATCCCAGGGAAGATGTGATCGAGGCTGGAAACCTGGAGAGCTCTTTGGACCAAATGATAAGAAAGGGAAAATATGAAGACTTGAATGTATTATAGTGAATGATGACTGGAAGATGCTGATCAGCAAACGGATCAAGGATAGGTAGTGGGTGAGATTAAAACCATCATTCCGAGTTTGAAAAATATGGGACTAGCCTTTATATCTTACTTTCCTGGGTCCTTCTCCAGTGAATTTTCTGGCCTGGCTACTCATATGTGGTCTTCTCCTTCTCTTCTTTTATACAAAGCTGTATGCGTAGGCAGAGACCCCTTCCCTCAAATACCTCCATAATCTCACAGGTTAATCTTTCAGAACTGTTTCTTCCATCATAACTCTTGAGTTATTTACCATTCTAAAAAATTCCCTAATGGTATTTTCTCCACATCTTCTGTCTTGACAGGAGGCAGAACTGGGCAAGAACAGGACTAACATAGCTTTTGTGCTTACTTGACCCCACAGAGTCATTAGTCGAGCCCAAGGACTGAAGCTGGTGGTGGAGACTCTCATGTCATCTCTGAAGCCCATTGGGAACATCGTGGTCATCTGCTGTGCCTTTTTCATAATCTTTGGGATCCTGGGAGTTCAGGTGAGTCCCCGCTAAGCCTCAGCACCTAACTCGAAAGTGTAACGAGCCCCAGATGGCCCCACATATGGGTATCTCTACCAATGCGCACACTATAAGCCTCTCTGAAACTGAACTAATGGGCTGTTGGCCTTCTTGGGGAACGCTCCTTGCTCCTAGTGAGGACGGAGAAGATCTCCCATTATTGATTAGCCATTAAAACCTCATTAGCAATTAGAACCTAACACCAGTGGCCCAGTAGTATGCATCCCTAGCCATAGCTGAAGGAGCAATGGTTAGAACCAGTGTGGTGGGGTTGGTTTTGCCTCTCTCTGGTTCCATTGAGGTCTTCTGACCAGCTCTAGAAATGTGTGTTGGTTTTGAATCCATAACTTTGCCATAGTTAACAGCCTGGCATGACTCAGACCCAAGGGTTTATGCAGCTCTTGGTCTCCACCCCAACAGCACAGCGACCTTTCTGAGGCTCTCAAGACACATTTATTCCTGACTTCCAAGTCTTGGCAAAGTGTCACTTGACCTATGGAACTTCCTGGAAGTTTCCCTGTTGCATGCAGTGATCCAAAAACCAACCTGATGACCCCCTCAAAGGCACAGAATGGGTTTTCTTCGTCCTTTCCCCACCACAAGGACTTCTACTCTGCCTGCAGCAGAATGTGAATCAAGATATTCCTCCACTTTCTTCCCCCGGCCACACCAGAGAAGGGTCAGGCCTGAGGCATGACATATACCACCAGAAAAACTCTGCTCAGGGAAACTGTTAAATCCTATTCCTGTTCCAACTGGGAGATAACATGGGGACATCTCCCCTCCATCTCTCTTCTAGGTATAAACCAATGGGGAAACAGAAACTCTCAAAAGCTGAAATTGCTAGTTTGTAAACTCTAGAGAGACCTTGACCTGGAGATTCATTCAGATTCTGACAGTTTGTATAACTGAAAGCTTGCAAAAATAGAGATTTCTGAGCCTGCTTTGTGCCAGCTCTGCTGGCAATATCCTCAGTCCCAGGAGTGCAGGAACCCAGGGGAAAAGGGCAGAGTTTCCACTGCAATGGAGTTCTTGTTACCTGAGAAGAAGAGATTGTTTCATGTGAATATTCTGACATAACACTTATTTCTTTTGGAAGTTTATCTGCACAGCCAGCTTTGGAAAGCAGCTCTGTTTGGCTTTGTCTTGGAAAGGTGTCTTATATAATGTTTTATACTAATATACTGCTCAAATAATAAATACAGCATCGAAAATAAGCAGAGAAGAAAATCCTGCCATCCATAACCACCTCAGCAGCTAGATTGGCTAGCATTACAGTGCAACAACATCCATCCATTATACTAAACAGATTCATAAAACTAAGCATATCCCATAAAACAATATAAAACTCAGACACAGGAAAATTTATGCCAAGCGACAAAACTTGCAGTATGCTCTTTGAATTTCCTCTCTGCTAATTGCGATTGCTTTCCCTAGTGACTTGCAGTCTTACGTTAAATTGTCACGACTATTGATGTGCTCAAGTGGGAGATGCAAGCAAGGCTGATCCTGTATTCAGGATGCAAAATTCTCAGTTAATATTTATGTCTAATTAAGTGTAACATGAGGGCCATAGCTATTTTCTGTAAAAAGATGATGTCTCAAAGTTACTGTTGGTTTTCCAATGTAGGTATAAACTGAGGATCAAACTAGAGGTTTTTATGCTATCAGCATCCAGATGTCCGGGTTTCTAACAATGTTTCTTCTTAAAAAGACTGGTTTTATTGTAGCGCTTGTCCATGTGTGAATAGTCATTAATAAGACACAAGCAATAGATTGGTAAAACAAGTACAGTAGGAACCACTGGGTCTTTTACTTTCAGAAGTGCTAAAATCTGAAGCTCCGACAGGGAATCAGCATCTTTTCAAATTGAGCTTCGTATTTCCCAACGCTGACAGAGGCTGTCTTACTGCTCCCATCCGAGCGGCGTTGCAGTCCAGCTCCTGGAGAAGTTACATTTATAGACAACGTATTAAGAGCAGTTGTTTACCTTCCTGCTTAATTAAAACTTTTCTCTGTGAAGGCTATATCTCCCCAGCCTGCCTTACCCATGGATAGTGTTTCTCTATGGAAAGATCAGGGAATACTTCTCTTCTTGCATCCAGAAGTTTTATGGCTGCGTTGAGTGGTGATTAATTTTGCATGCCTGGAGAGCATCCGTCTGCTGTTGGTTTCTGAAGGAAACCCATGGAGCAACGCGTGGGTTTATCTTGTTCACTATTATTTCTACCGATATTTGTCTAGAACAACAGATCAAAACCCGTCAGTGTCTTTTCTCTATACCCAGGTGGGGTTTTAAGGAGCCTGGAGAGCAGGCTGCCATTTCCCCCCAAAACAGTAATGTCAATAGCTTCTGTCAGCAAATAAAACTGGATTTGTTGGATGTCTCCCAGGCTTTCATAGCATCCATCCTGCTAGCATCAATCACCCTGTCAGGAGCAGTGATCATTCCCTGCCACTCTCGGTTCTGCGTGTGGGAAGCACCGGGTCTAGAATTAAACGCGTGGAGGCTCATGTTCCTCGTGCAGGTGTAAAGCAGGAGCTGACTCCCCACGAGCTGCGTCTCTCCTGCCTTACATCAAAGGAAATAAGCTCAGGATCAGGCACCCAGCACCAGCCAGGCTTGACTCCTTAAGCTCTGCACAAGGAATAATTTCAGAGACGCCTGCACAGACTGCAGAGCCTAACGGTGGCTGGAGAACAGCGCTTGGGATCAGAGCACGGAGCCAGACTGACAGCGGTCTGGACTCGGCGAGAGCCCGGCGTCATCGCCGCAGCTCGGCCCCTCTCTGACCGTCCCCGTGTGACCCCTAAGAGCGCAGCTGGGTCCCTCGCTGTGCCTCCTTGGTGCCACCTTCCCTCTGCTGACTCTTGAAACCGGCATCGTTCAGTGGGCTGGAGTCGCCAGAGTGATTCCACGTGTGGCAAGAAGCCGTTAGCTGGTCTGGGCTATTAGCCAGAGCTGCACTTGAGCTGGCCACCCAGAAGCAAAAGGCCGTTAGGCCAGTCTCAGATCACTGAACCAGACAGCCTAATGCACGAGGTGGGTGTCCTAAACGAGGTGAAATCATGCATTTGCTCATTAGGTGCATATTATGCAGGCTGCTCGTACTTAATAACCAGCACGAGTGAGGCCGTTTCGCTTAACTTCTCCGGTCAGCGTGGGCCGTGCAGAATCCCCCAGGAGAACTGCCCATCATCTGCACAGAAATCCTGCGAACCGAACCCTTACCTTTCCTCTCTTCTTTGCGTGTTTTGCAGCTTTTCAAAGGCAAGTTTTTTGTCTGCCAGGGGGAGGACACCAGAAACATCACAAATAAATCGGATTGTACAGAAGCAAGCTACAAATGGGTCCGGCACAAGTATAATTTTGATAATCTCGGCCAGGTATTAATAGAATGGTAATCTGCTTCTTTGCTCCTTTCCTTCCTTGACTTAAAACCTGTGCATTATTATCCCATGGGATTTTCTTACAGGACACTACCAGTCGCAGTAAATATTCAGTTCACATACACAGCATTCTGTCTTGGTAAATCCCAAAGGTAGTGTTTCCAAGCAGGCATACACTTCTTTTTCGGAACAGAACAAGCACATGTGGCTTCGTGGAGTACTTAATTGCTTCACTGCTACATAACAAACCAAATATATCTTGCAGAAGGGCTTGTCTAATAGAGCCGGACACTTTCAGCCGTCTCTGCAACGCAGCCTTATTTTAGCAGCATGGTGAGGACTAATTAGTTGGGAGCAGTAGAGACCTGGAGGGTGGAAATGAAGCTGCTTTTGTCTTTGGCTTTGTGGTTTCTGAATTAGCACTCATTGGTGAACCAGGTGCTGACATTGATGGGGTTTTGCTGCCAAGAGAAACCTTTGGCCATCAAAGTGTCCCATTATCAGACAGGTGATGATGATCCCCAGACAGGAAAGGGCAAAGAGGAGTAAAATGTTACAGGTAAAAAAGCTTTAGTGCAACTATGTCTAACTTTTTTCCCATGTGTTTCTAGGCCCTGATGTCTCTCTTTGTTCTGGCCTCCAAGGACGGGTGGGTGGATATCATGTACGATGGCTTAGATGCTGTGGGAGTTGACCAGCAGGTACGTGCTCTAGCAGAGCTGTAAGAAATTAGTTGTCAAAGGCCACACATTTTGGCTCCTGTTTTGCAAACTACTGTTGGCTTCTGCCATCAAATGGGGTTGTGGGGTTGGGATCGAGGCGGCTGTTTGACTCAAGTCCTGGGGCATGACAAGGAGTCAAGTGGACAGTCTGGATTTGGATCTGGCTTTTTCCTTACAGATTTTGCAACACGACTGGTGTAACTGGCATTAGGAGAAACACACCCGTCGAAGAATGAAAGTTTGACTTTTTAAGGAATTTGGACGTTTCAGGAGAGAAGTGCTTTGTGTGGGTACAGGTTTTCAGTGAGGAACTTGCAATAGCTGCAAAGAATGCTGCTGTCCTACCGTTGGCAGAAAAGAGGTGGTTCTTCTGTCCTCAATGTGCTTTGTGTTTTGGGAGCATTCAGTTAAAGTGTCTCAGAGGGCTCTAATTTTCGGGAAGAGCAAAGCACACAGAGCTGTTTCAGAGGGGCCCCACGGGTGAATGGATATGGCAGCCACATCAATTCGCTCCTTTTTTTTATTACTATTTTTTTGAGGTTCAGTTAACATTTGCCTTCCTCCACTTTGCAGCCAGTCATGAACTACAACCCATGGATGCTCCTCTACTTCATCTCCAATGATCGTGGCCTTCTTCGTCCTCAACATGTTTGTGGGGGTGGTGGTGGAGAATTTCCACAAGTGTCGGCAGCACCAGGAGGAGGAAGAAGCCAAGAGGCGGGAGGAGAAGAGGCTTCGCCGGCTGGAGAAAAAGAGAAGGAGTAAGGAGAAACAGATGGCTGGTCGGTAGTCTTTCCACATCTTTCTGAGTCCTGCTTGACCTTCCACACGATCCCCTCCTCCCTCCCCTCCCTGCCTCGCGTCTGGTGATCATTCTTCTCCCAAAAGCATGTCCAGCTATAAAATTTGCATGAAGGAAATAGTGTCGTTTTAGGCTGAGCAAGGAGTCATGGAAGCCTTTTTAATAGCTGCATGATTTGCAATGACCTTTCCGTTGGAGGTTATTTAAATTAAAATATAATCATAATCAGACCTGGAGCTTCTTGGATAGCAGAGCTCCGTGTTACACAAATAGTGATAACTGCAAAGATCAGCAGTGCCGAATGGCACCATAAATCTTCTGAGTCATGAGCACTGTTGCTGATAACCGGATTCACTATTTGGTTTATTACAGCCTTGTAATGCCACAGTGATGTTACCTGTCCCATTTATCACGCAGGTTTATTTATTGGCACAGTAGCACCACTGCTATTCAAGAGTGTAATAAAATAATGGAGCCATCTCATTCTAGTAATGCTTAAAAACTCCTTAGAGAAACATATCAATGCATTTGCTTGAGAAATACAGATTAGAAAAAAAAAAAAACACAACAGTTGAGAAGAGTGACTAAGTAGACAAAACAGCACTGGTGCAAATGGAACCAAGCTCCAAACTGGATGTGCAAGCTTGCAGCCCTGCCTAGAGAAGGCTTTACAGGTGAAAGGAGGCTAGACCTCCACCCTGTCAAAAGTCTCCAACCTGACATTTGTTCTTTAGTCCTTTTTTTTTTTCTTTTCATTCGTTTGAATAAGTAAGAAATAAGTCAGCCAGAGGCCACAGGTCGGAGGTAGTCTTCTCGCATGCTCTCTTGTCTGACTGAACTTTCTCCGTTGCCCATCGAGTCCATGGCCTCGCTCTGTCCCTCCCTGGTCAGCCGCCTGCTGCTCTCTCCGTGTCCCCTTTCACATCTCCTCTCTGTCTTTGACAGACTTCAGTGCTGTTTAAGAGGCTGTCTGATCAGATGCTTGTTCCCAAAGCTGGTAATATTAAGTCTGTTTGATTTTTTTTCAATAGTCTAAGAGGTGTTTAATAGCTGTGACAGGCTTAATCGTGCAGCCATGTACCACAATGGTGTCTCGGCCCCTCTTGGATCAGCACTCACCCAGCACTTTCCTTTGGTCACATCTTTAAGTCCCATGAGCTCCCCAGGTTTTGTAACCAATAGGACATATCACACCAGCCTCTGGACATCAAACTTGGGTTAATGCCGAGAGCCTGGCTCCCTCGCTGGGCAGTGGAGAGATGGGGGCTCCCGTCAAGAGCAGTGGAGGACACTTTAGACTGTTCTCAGTTAAGTGAGATACAGATGGAAAGAGTATTTTTTTGGTTTTTACATCAAGGATATGCCTAGAAAGCTCTTTCGGCCAGTCCAAGTTCCCAAACACAGTTTCAGGCCGATGAGTTAGAAAATGTTTTTAAAGGCTGGGTAGAAAGATCCCTATTTAAAGTTACACTTTTGGAAAGCAGACATTTCTGTAGAAGAAAAATAGATGTTTAGTTATTATTAATGACGTTATTTATAATGCTAGAGGAACTAGATGAAGAAAAGACGTAAGTCTGGGCAATTTCCCAGCGGGAAGGAATCACAAACCATCCTTGGAGATGCAGTTATTCATTCAGTCCTATGAAATGCCTAATTAAAGAGGCAATAAACAGCTATTTTACTGAGGATCAAATATTGCTGAGTATTCAATCGCCATAAAAAACCTTTCAAGAGCAAAGTATGAAGCCCTCCAAATCACTTCAGAACAGTTTTCCCAATTCGCATTCAGTGAAAAGTTGGTTTTAATTGACCGTGTCCAGCTTTGCCCTCGGAGGCAACAGGTGTCATTGCTCAACTTCATTCTGCATGGTGGGAGCTTGCAGATGATATCAAGACCAGGGCTTTGACCATGTCAGCAACTGCATGGGGGTTTCTTTCAGCTGGGCTTCCTGAGTGTCCCTGGATGCCCAAACCAACCTACGGATGTCAGACATAGACAGATGTAGACATCTAACTGGTTGCACAGTCATTTTTGATCGTAGACTCTTCAAATGCCTTTACCCAATCGGACATCTGAAAACCAGAAAAGCATGTGAGATCCCAGCTTGGTGAGATGTAGGCAGCTGCAGGAGTGGTCTCTCTAAGTTGCACTGGCCCAGCAGGATATGTACAAAGCCTGTCCTTCCGAAGTGTCTTCTCCTTCGTCATCGTCAAGCGAGGAGGTTCTCAGGGATCTCTTGGGCTTCCACCTGCGTACGTGGGAGAAGCACAAGAGCCCTTCCTTTTTCACAATGAGCCTGTGTACCTGAGCCCACCCTCCATGAGGCACCAGCAGAGGATCCCACAAGGAAACGTTACCGGTAGAGGCGACGGAGAGCCTGGGAGCCGTAGGGACGTCTGAAGGGGAAGGGAAGTCTTGCCGTGTGTCCTGCCGGGTGATTAATGCCGTTTCGTTCTTTTAGATCTAATTCTGGATGATGTATTAATGGAGAGCTCAGCCAGTGCAGTGCAAGGTACTGGGAAGCCGGCACGTCTCGTCCCACGTGAATGGCAGTGCTGTGTCACTAACGGCTGGCCACCGCTGCTCCGAGGCATCCCACTAAACCCTGTGTGTGGTGCAAAGCTCGTTCGCTTACTTCATGGCACACGCATACCATTCTGAACCGCAGGTCTGCAGACCTGCCTCAGGACTGACACTTGCGAACCCTTAATTTACCCCTTGATCATGTTATGTTTTTCAGTATTTTTTTTTTCAGTTTTCATTAAGACACTGTCAGACTTTTCATGGCTTTTTTTTTTTCCTTCTTTTGTTTTATTTTTTGTTTTTTTCTTAGGGAATAATGACTGGACTGTGAAATGGGTCCTTTATTGTTTACTCTAGCTTTCCTACCACCAGCTTAGGACTCTCTGAATAATTTGCAGGAGTGTCTCGGGAAGGCAGGCAGTCTCACTTTAGGGAGGTTATTTTATTATTTCTCCAGCCCTTGCTCATTGCTCCACAACCGCTGTGTTCCAGGGAGGCAGAGTCTTTTTTCAGCAGGGTAAAATTCCATATAGTGCAGAGCCTCAGCGCTTCAACGGAAGGATCAGCTCCCACACCAACCCTTGCCATGGACGTGGGATTTACCCATTGTGCTGCCAAACTGGTACATTCTTCATATTGATTGAGAGTTGCTTGATCCATGAGGCATCTTGTAAATGCAAAGAAATAAAGATGCCACCTCAAAGCCTTTCCAGGTCCTGAGCACTGCCAGGGGTTTGACCTGGCCACCCCGACCAGCAGTCCCTCACGTCTCCCTTTCCCATTCCCACTTTGCCAGGACGATGCTCAGGGCTGCGAATCTGTCCCTTGTTCTTTGTATTTTTAGAAGAAGCTTTGATTTGGCAAGTGTTTTGTTTAATTCATATCTTAAGAATATTAGCCTGAATAATTAAAGAGGCGTCAACGTAGAAACAAATATAGCTGTAATTTTCGACAAAAATAATATGCCAGGAAAATTGTGCCATTAAAGCGCTCACCTGTCAACAAGCTCCCGCTGCTTGAGATGGGAGCAGGGCTCCATCCATCTCTTGCATATTGCAGGGAGTTTTGATTAAACAAAAATTGTGAGGTGAGGGCTATCGGCTTTCCCTGCAGAGGGTAACTCCGGGAGACAGAGGTTCCTACCTTATGTTTCTAAGGTCTTGTTGGGAGTTATCACAACATGCTTTAATAAATCCTGAATCTCCTTCCCATTGCTATTCCTGGTACTTTTATTTCTTTGCTTTCATTCTTGCTCTTCTTGGTAGTTCTCCCGTCCTCTCCTGCGAAGGGGGGCAGCACAAGATGGGGTGTTGTAACTGGGTTTGGGGGTCTGTTTATTTTTTCTTCTTTTTATTTGGTTATGATTCCTTTTCTGGTCCTACAGAGCTATGTCAAGGCTGATTTATTTTATTTTATTTTTAAGGCACTGAACTAATTCCAAACCTTCTGTTGTCCTGCACGAGTTCAGAAAGACTCTTAGTTTGTCTTTAGAAGGTGTTCGATAGTCAGGTCTGCACTTTGTGTTTCTTTGGATCCCGTGGCAGTGAACGTGCCACGCTGCTCTTCAGGCACTGGCCTGAGGGAATAGAAAGGTTTAATTTCTGGACCTGACCGTGGGGGATATGAGGGGATCAGTCCCAGGTGCTGTAGATAAACCTTCTCTGTGATTTGATGAGAAATCTGGAGTTGGGACCCCAAAGCTTCCACAAATCTCTGCACTCACAGGGGGCTGCTTTGCTCTTTCTGTGAAGATAGGATGGAATATTGTGTGTGTGTGTGTTGCTGCCTGGTGCAGTTACTTAGTGAGATATTATAACTTTATTTTTTTCCTTTTTCTTTTTGAGTCTCCATTCTATCACAACTGGAATCTTCTCAGTGGAAATAATTTATCGTTTTCCATTTTGCCTTTTTTTTTTTAATAAATCCATTCAGTACAATAAAAGCCAAGTAAGACGCTGTGTTTAAATAAAAAAAGTTCCTTCAGTGCAAACTACTTTTTAACCTAATAATATTCTTGATACAGTTTGTAAATCCAGCTGCGTCACAGGCTCATTGCTCACAGGTTTGCCGCTGTCCTCCAGATATACGCAGACCTGCAAAGTAGTTAATTCCCTTATTATAGGAGAAGGAAGAAGCTGGAGGAGACAATAATGGAATTGTCCCACTCTCGTGAATTCCAATTTCCTGTGCCCACGCACCTCCGGCTTGAAAGCCACCTCGGGGAAAGTGGCAATTTCTCTCTTGACAGGGCTATATTCGGAGGCAGCTGCTATTCGGAGATATTCCAGAGCTGCATGCCCAGCCTGATTCCGGCCAAGAAAACGCAGTTAGGGAAGAGAGTGGTCCCGGCCCCATCTCCCACAGGGACTGGCCGAGCTCTGGGACCCACTGGGAGCTGGCAGTGGCATTGCCCAGCCAAAACCAGGGGTACCTCCAGCACTGGTTTGCTGGTCACTGGTGCCATTCACAGGTCACCTCCTAGAGCTGTTGGAGGAACAGCAGCATGGGGTTTAACGCCCCAAACCCGGGCTGTGATTGCCAAACCAGAATGGCACTTGGTCTAGGAGAAGTTAGAGCGGGATTAGGAATGGGAAACGTTTATCCTGCAGCAGTGGTGCTTGTGTTCAGTTTGGGGCCCCTCACTACAAGAAAGTCATCAAGGTGCTGGAGCATGTCCAAAGAAGGGCTACGAAGCTGGTGAAGGGTCTAGAGCACGAGTCTTAGGAGGAACGGCTGAGGGAACTGGGGTTGTTTGGCCTGGAGAAAAGGAGGCTCAGGGGAGACCTTATCACTCTCTACAACTACCTGCAAGGAGATTGTAGCAAGATGGGGGTCAGTCTCTTCTCCCAAGTAACAAGCGATAGGACAAGAGGAAATGGCCTCAAGTTGTGCCAGGGGAGGTTTAGGTTGGGTATTAGGAAAAGTGTCTTCACCAAAAGAGTTGTCAAGCATTGGAACAGGCTCCCTAGGGAAGTGGTAGAGTCACCATCCCTGGATGCATTTAAAAGATGTGTAGATGTGGTGCTTAGGGACATGGTTTAGTAGTGGACTTGGCAGTGTTAGGTTAACGGTTGGACTTGATGATCTTCAAGGTCTTTTCCAACCTGTACAATTCTATGACTGCCTTTCCAAACGGGCAGGAGCAGACGGTGATGAGTGTGGTTACCCCAGGACACAGGCTGGGGCTGCTGAGTGTCCCATGCTCTGCCTCCCAGCCCTTGTCAAGGGGATCGAATATAAGCCTGCAGGAGGATGCCAAGAGGAGTACGGATGTGTCTGATTGGGAAACGAGCTGAGAACCCATAAAAATGACCAGCTAAAGCTGATGCCCCTGTGCCAGGCACCCGCACCCCTTGCAGGTGCGGTCCCCTTAGACCACCATCGCCCAGGATGAACATGCAGGTGGGATTCTCCCAAGCCAGGTCTCAACTAGCTGCAAAGTCTCCTTCCTACCTGCGGTAGGAGGAGATTGCTCAGGATCCACTGTCTGAGATGATTTTCTCCGGTGTAATGATATCTAAATTTGAGCCACTTCTCCCTCTCCCCCACTCCTGGCCTCCAGCCACGGTGAAGCAGCTTGATTTACACCCTGTTTACCAGCCCGATGCCTCGTAGTGGGCTTTTGCTGTATTTCCCCATTTTCTCGCATTCTCATCCTGCCAATTCTTTTGTTCGTTTGCTCTCCTCCTCTTTTCTTTAACGCCATGTGTGCCGGGAAGCCAAGTTAACCTTTCCAGTAATAACCGAGACTAACCCAGAGCTCTTGTTGTTCTTGATGCAGTGTATTGTAACAGTACAGTAATGTGGTGTTGTGTTAGTTGTGAAGTTCACCACCTGGAGTTTAACAGATGTCTGTATTTCCCAAGATGTTGGTATTGTTTAGATCTTTACTGCAATAATTAGAAATGATACTGTGTGATAGGGGGCACGGACTTCGCATCTGGATAATTAAACACGAGCAACACCCGACTTCCCTGCAGAACTGCGCGGGTTGGGTTAAATAAATGGTATTTATGCAATAGCAAGAAAATGCTTGGTCTGTTCAGAAAGTTCCCTGCCCACCTAGACACAGTCGCTGTTGATCTCTAGTCCTCAGCCAGCATGCCAGCTCGTGTGTGGTTCACCCGGCGGTAGCGTCTGTATCGCACTAACGCGCATGGCCGGCACGCGGCGAGGCGAGCGGTGCCGTGATTCATAAACAGGGTTGACCAATCCCCTCTGAGCAACGTCAACGGGGAAGGATGAAACGTTTGCCAACGGTGATTTTCTAAGGCTGCGAGAGCCGCAGCCAGAGATGTTTGGCTGTGGAAAAGTGGGGGTATGTGCTGGGAAAGGTGGAAAGGAGCTTGGGGGTTTGGGAGGGTGGGGGTGCAAAGGGGGAGAAGCCTTTGCAGATCTGTGAACAATTAGCACAACCCTGCTTATAAGGTCACGCGCTGGCTAATCCAGGTGCAGGAGCCCTGCACTGGAGACATTTTACAACCTCTCTCTAAATCCTCTCTCTCTTCTAACAGCGTCGGTGCTATTCTGTAGGATTTGGAATTACCTGTCAATCAAAGCTAAGAAAAATTTGAATTCCAGTGTAATTATTCATAAGTAAATCCACTGCAAGAAAAGGCAGAAACATTGACGTTTTTCTTTTTGAGCGTGAATTATACATAAATGTAGAAGAAGTAAGTGATCCAATTACGATGGTGTTTCTTTCCAAGATGATAAGTTGGTTCATAAAAATAGGTCCTGTTCCTAACCTAATTGTATTCAAACATTTTCGTTAATTTGCTACTCATAATTTAGCATAATGTGATCGAGATATCTTGACTTTATGGAGATTTATGCAGATTCTGAGATATCTAACAAAGTCTTACGAGTGAGTCAGCAGCTACCAGGCAGCTTTTTTGTAAGCACTCAATAGATTCAGCATGAAAATTCATTTTGTAGACCTTTTCATCGATACCGTGCTTTAGCACTAAGGTACAGATCACCTAAAGCACACTGCACATCAGAAAGTGAATATTCATACTGCCTTTCATTTGATGACACTGAAGCAGAATTTTGGGCATTCCAAACCCCTACAGAATAAAACTGCTGAGTGATTTGTCTCTCTGGTCTCCAGGCTGTAAGGGAAAGGTCTGTCTCTATGGAAAAAACAAAACTTCTCTGATTTTTCAGGACCCTGTTAATGAAGCAGGGAGCACATGAAACCGTTAAATCTATGGGTTTGATTGTAATGTCATTGGCTATTGACAAAGCGAATTCTATTTCCAGGCAAAATTTAATCTTCTAAAATTAGTTTTCCCTGAGGGCAACCCGAACCTGTGCTTCGTGGCTTCATTCTGCCCAACTTTTTGCTCAGAATAATGTATCAAACTGTACATTTGCTCAGCAGCACTAAATATCAAGCCATGTAATTCTTACAGCTCAATAATTTTCATAACCAGTTGATCATCTAATTATGAGTGTGATATTATACTCTGACATATTCAAGACAGTCCTTTCCACTTCAATCTGCATTATAATGCCTCCTTGAAAATTGTACTGAATTATATACTCAGCCTTGGCATTTCCTCATTAGAGATTAGGTGAGTAAATGAGTTTATCTCTAGGAACATTCGGGGTCTAAAGAGCATGTGTCATCCCTAAGGCAGCCAAACGCGGGAATGAGTTGAACAGTGAAATCTGTACTTTGATAATCTTGTCTAAATGGAGGATCATTATTTTCTAATCGCTAAGGCTGACTGATCAGTTTTCCTTGGTGTTTTTAAGAACCGTTTTTCAGGGCTCTGACAGCCAAAGTGTTGAATTTTGTTCACTCTACAGCGCAAAGAACATAATATGACTGAATTACTTCTCTTTCAAAAACCACCGCTAACTCAATGGCCTGTATTTTGAAGTCTCCGTTAGTAAAATCTGTCCCCAACATCTGATCATTAATTGGGCTTTTGGATGCTGTGGGGACTTTTAATATCTTTTAAGATCAGCAGAAACAAAAATTGTACTTTTCATT